GAGTGGGAGTGGGAACAGGAGTGGTAGTAGTAGTAGTAGTAGTAGTAGTAGTAGTAGCAGTAGTAGTAGTAGTAGTAGTAGTAGTAGTAGCAGCAGTAGCAGCAGTAGCAGCAGTAGTAGCAGTAGTAGCAGCATTAGTACTACGACTACGACTAAGGGGAAACCTTACTTGAGAGGCAGCGACTCCCAATGCAAGGTTGCGACATGGCAATCAGTCTTCCCACTGTTCGGATGGCCCTCTGCACCACGTCGTAAAGTGCAACCCAGGATCGTTCATAGTCGTACGGAAGACAGGTTCAGGTGCCAGTTGGCACTGGACAGCAGAGAATCGTCGTCAGTCACCAACATCATCATCGTCATCCTCGCCGTCGTCCGCTTTGTTAGTTTCATCATTTTCATCATCACCCCCCTCCTCCTCCTCATTTGCGTTGGCATTCATCAGGAAGACGAAGAGGAGTAGAATTCCCGAGACCTGCACCAATGGTACTTCCTAAATGGCCCTAGCATGTCTGCACCTCAAAAACCTAGAATACGGTTTCGTAGGGTTTAACAAAGGTGCCTTCGTCATACTTCGAAAAAGGCCACATTGTGACATTACTAGGGGTTTAGAATGCATTAAAGTCAGATCAGACCCTGAACCCTAAACCCTAAGATGGGGACTGCCACGAGGGATTGTGTCTACTGTTGATGTTTTAATTCCTGCATTACCTTAAGGACGCTAAACTATGGGAATTATGGTATATTCCTTATCATGGGTAATGCAGGATTTATATCATCAACCGTAATTGCTCAGACTTCTCCACCGGCCATCCACAAGTCTCTGAGCCTTCCATATCTGGGTTCATGGTTTAGGGTTTAGGGTTTAGGGTTTTAGGGTTTCGGGTTTAGGGTATAGATGGTTAAGCAGAAGCCCCGGCAAACTCTCAGCCCTCCCAAAATCCCTAAGCCCAAGCGCCATAAAACCCCGAAGCCCTGAACCCAAGAATCCTCAATCCGAAGCCCTGAGCCCTAAACCCGAAGAGCCCAAACGCTTGCAAAACCAACATCTGGAACCCTAAACCCTAAACTCTAAACCCTAAACCCCAAACCCTAAAGCCCTAAAGCCCTAAAGCCCTAAACCCTGAATCCTAAACCCTCAACCCTACACCCCGGTGCGCACGCAGATCCTCTTCAGCGGCTCCTTCTGCGCCATCTTCTGGCTAAAGAAGCCGCTCCGCCCGCAAGGGCCTTCGTTGCTAAGGGTTTCGGGTTCAGAAATTTGGGTTTAGGGGTTTAGGGGTTTCGGGTTTAGGGTTTAGGGGTTTAGGGTTTAGGGGTTTAGGGTTTCGGGTTTCGGGTTTTTCATATAGGGCCTACAGAATTGCCGATACTACTTTGGGGGTTCCTTATCATAATTAGAGTATAATATTCCCCCAAACCCTATTCTAATTGTTAAGGCCCCTATATTAACATATTGCTTTCTGGGAGTTGTGTGTCGCTTGGGGATTTAGGGGTTAGCTGTTTGGGGACAGGGCTTAAGGTTTAGGATTAGGACCTCAGGGGCTTAGGATTTAAACTTAAGGGTTTGGGGTCTAGGGCTTTAAGGTTCAGGGTTACTTTACGGGTTACTGTAAGGGTTCGGTAAGGGTCACTTTACGGGGTACCATAAGAGTAGTTTCTATCTGAGCTGTTAAGTTGCGCCTGCGATCCAGTGGGGAAATCCCATGCCATCAGTGCAGGGAGCAAAAAGCGGCAGTGGGTGCTGGCTTCTTTTGAGTTTACTGACTTCGCTGAGATACCGGTATTGAAAGACCTGAACCTTAAGCTTCTAAACCCTCAACCCTAAAAAACCCTAAACCCTCAACCCTAAACCCTAAACCCTCAACCCTAAATCCGACACCCTGAAGCCTCACGAGCCTTGCAGTGTTCAGATTTTAGGACATTTTCAGGTGGGTAGTAACCGTTATAGGAGCCTTATAGAAGGCCTATATACCTTATGGAAGCCTTATAGAAGCTTTACATAAACTCCCCACCTGTAGTTTCCTTTAACTTAGACCCTTTTTCGAGACGTTATAGAGCCGCTGAAGCGGAAAACACCAACTCCTGTTAAGCCTGGCCCTAAGCCCTAAGCCCTAAACCCTAAACCCTAAACCCCTAAACCCCTAAACCCCTAAACCCCTAAACCCCTAACCCCCTAACCCGCTAAACCCCTACACCCATAAACCCTGCTGTCACCCCTAAACCCCTAAACCCCTAATCCCCTAAACTTCTAAGCCCTGCTGCCACCAGGAGAGGAATGATGCCAGGACTGACGTTCTCGAACGAGCTGATCTCGCGGGACGAAGGCCGCCTCGGCTTGCTTTGCTTATGTATAGGGTTTAGGGGTTTAGGGGTTTAGGGGTTTAGGGTTGAGGGCTTTGGGTTTAGGGTTTAGGGTTTAGGGTTTAGGGTTTAGGGTTGAGGGTTCTGTCAAGGGATCTGTTATAGGGTGTTTCTTAAGGGTTCTAGGGTTCTGTCAACGGATCTGTCATAGGGTGTTTCTTAACGGTTCTATGAGGGCTTAGGGCTATATCATGCTATAACTATAGCAAGAAACCCCCAAAACCCTATTCTAAACATTAAGGCCCTTACATTATTATAGGGTGTTGCTTAACGGTTCTATGATGCTTTATGGAGTTTAGAGTTTTTGGCCTTTAGGGGCTACTATAAATATTCTATAAGATAGGTGCCTTAATAATTAGAATGGGTTTTGGGGAAAAAAAAAATATATATATATATATTATACTAAAACTATGATAAGGTTGAGGGTTTAGGATTGTGGAGATCCGGGTGCTGGAGGGTGGTTTGGGCTTCCAGAGTTGAGCCAGGGATCCTGGGACTGCACCTAAAGCCTAAACCCTATCTCTAGGACATTTTCAGGTGGGTTTAGGGTTTAGGGTTTAGGACATTTTCAGGTGGGTAGTTACCGTTAGTAGGTCCCTTAGGGTTTAGGGTTTAGGGTTCAGGGCTTTGGGTTTAGGGTTTAGGGGTTAGGGTTTAGGGTTTAGGGGTTTAGGGTTTAGGACATAAGCCCTAATGTAGGGGCCCAAATACATTACCTATACTATTTTGGGGGTTCCTCATTGTAATTATAGTATAATGGGCTCTAAAATCGCATTCTAACTATTAACGCCCCTATAGTAAACCCGCAAACCCTAAACCCATACGATCTCGGTTTTGGTGTGTGGGATCTTGGTTCTTTGAGCAGGTAGGGCTTAGGGTCGGCATCTTCAGCCCAGCACCCCAAAGCCTTCAACCCTCGTCGTGGCGTAGTCGCTTCCTATTGTTTTCTTCGGATGCCTTTAAGGAGCCATTTAATTTAAGGGAACCCTATATGCATATATATATATATATATACACACCTTAAAGGACCTGTTTCGGTTTCGTAGGTGGGTCCGAGGAGGGACGCGCTGCGGAAGTCGAGAACCCGCAGTTTATTCCAATAGCCTTTGGACCTCCAACCACCGAGGGTCGAGGGGTCAGTCAGAGGTCTGGGCTCCTCAAGTTTTTAGGGTCTTGACTCCTCAAGTGTTTAGGGGTTTAGGGTGTATTTGGGGTTTAGGGTTTAGGGTTTGAAAGCCCCAGAACCTGAAACCCTACTGTCCCGCCACCTTTGGGCGGAGGCCTCCATGCAGACTTCGCATGCCTCATCTACCAGTCGCCCGGCTGTTGTTTAGCTCCAATAAAGCTTCAACGCCAGGCCGGAAGCCATCAGGCCGAAATCCATCAACCCAAAGCCAAAACCCCGGAACCCCAAATTAAAATCCCCAATACCGTTCAATACAGCCAGGCCCTAATAATTAGAATAGGGTTTTGGGGTTTCTTGTTAGAGGTATAATATAATTTGCCCCCAAACTCTATTCTATATAATTGTTAAGGCCCCTATATTAATGCTTGCGGATCAGAAGGCACGGCACAGAGCCCGGAATCAACCGTGCGGCTTCTCAAGCCTGAATGCCGGGTTTAGGGTCAAGGGGTTTGAGGTTCAGGACTTTGGGGTTTAGGGGGCCCTAAACCCTAAACCTTAGGCTCCTTAGGGGGTTTAAGGTTTTTTCAGGCAGATAGAACTCAACCAACTTACACGGTAGTCTTTGCTTCAGCTTGTTTGTAAGGAACGCATTACCAAGCAAGGAGCACGCACGGGGTGTGCAGTTCTCCGTACTGGCCAGCAGTCATCACTGAAGAAACTACCCCGCGCTATGGAAGCCGGACGACTCCAGAAGCCCAACCTCACCTTAAGTACGCAGCCATAGCAAAGCTCTAAGGTTGAACTCATGGGCCCCTAGTATGGGCCCTTAGCCCTGGGGCCCTAATATACCCACTATATACCCTATATATACCCTTAAGGGACCCTAGAAACCCCTAAGGGCCCATGTTAGGGGCCCACGCGTTCAACCTTAGAAAAGCGGTCAAAGCGGTTGCGGAACTCGTCTTGCGAGATGGCCCCGCACGCAGCGCACGCGCAGGGCCTCCCCCAAAGAATCAGAAGCTTCTTCTTCAGGGTTCCTCATAAACTTAGTCTATGTATACCACGGTCCTATACTAGGTTCCCCAGTAGTACCCTTTTGCCCTTTTTCTTTTTGGGTTCCCTATTAAAACCAAATAGTAGGAAGAAGGCTACCCTTATCATTAAGGGGCTACTGGGGAACCTAGTATACCCCG